TCTCGAGTCTCACTTCATGGTTTATGATACAGTTACATCACAATCCCTCAATAGAATTACAGCTTTGTCACTAATCTCTCTCTATCAGTTATCCTGTAAGGAAGGAAGCTGCAAGGCCCTACTAGAAAAAGGCAATGGCATGAATGATTGCATTCAGTCTCTTTCCACAACAATATCTGTAAGTCTAGAAGTGATAAATGGCACCCAAGTTATAAATGAGCAACAAGGTCAGTAGCACCAAGCAGCCAAGGGTTCAAAGAAAAGTCACAATTCTGACGGGTTCAAGAAAAGGCCACATACTGCTGGCATGCATCAAGAGAGACAAATCCTCCAAGATGCCTTACTGCAATTACGAAACAGAATTAGAAAAGCCTGTTATTGAAGAGCCAAGATTTTTGTCCAGGAATTGAACAAAGAACATTGATTAATACAAAATTCATTATTTTTCCAGAAAAATGTTGAATAACACTTTCTGACTAGTCAAGAATCCTGGTGGAAAACATCTTCAAAAATGTCAAATAATTCTTTGACAATGAAAAACGTGTAATTGAGTAACACTGTTTTATTCTTGGTCTTCTCTTTTTAATCTCATAAATACATTTGCAAAGAATCCAGAAGAGACAAAGAAAAATGGCTTCTCCATAACTATTTAGGTTGTATCTTCATCCTTTTATAAACTCCCTTAGGTAATTTGCATAAAATAAAAATACGGCCTCTTCTTGTAAACTAAAATATACAACTCTTCTAACAATCTAAGAAATAAAGACCACTCACAGAATGTTACAATGAGAACATCACCGCAGAAATATCTGTGCGTGCTTTTTATAAAATGGAGATCCTGAAAGGTTGAGAACTTCCCCAAGGTCAAGTCATTAGAAACTGACAGATCAGGATTGAAAACACTGAGCCCCTGAAGCCTACTCCTTTTTTTCTTTCTATCGAATAAAAGTTCCCCTCAAATAGATAACTTCTGTCAGTCTTAGAATATCTCATGCTCTCATTGGATTGGCTGTAGTCCTCAGGCTTGCCTGCTGTGTGTGGAATAGATTTCAATACACTTTTGTACTTGCTGTTTATTGATTTATGAAGATCAAGTCAAATTGCACTAAAGAAAAATTTGCTAGGCAATTATAATACAAAGCTGGGGAAATGTACAAGAAGGGATATTCATTATAATCTGGTCTACTCCTAAGAAAAAGAGGCCTTATACCAAAGAAATCTTTAAATTATTGAAAGAGCATTTCTCACTTTCACTCAACTTCTTCACAAATGAGTCCTTATCATCCTGTAATAGTTATGGAAGTTTTCCTTTTGGCTTTGAGCAGCAAAGTGGACAAATAAAATACGGCATCATGTCTCTGTGAGTGATTAAAGTTAGAATAATGATTTCTCCCTTTAACAATACAGAATATGAAATGTTTTTTTTAAAAAACTGCTAAGAGCACACAGAAATGGAATTTTAAGGTGAATTTTATATACTTACATTTTTAAAAATTCAAGTTGCTAGTACAAAATTTTAAAGATGGGACACAAAAATGAGAAAAATATACTATCCAGAACAGTGGGATAAAACTGTAATCAGTAATAATCGAAGGATACATGAATTCTTTGATATGCAAATCAATGTGAAAATCCAAGAATTATTTATTTGGTCTTTAAAAAATGTTTTAGTGTTAAGGACCAAACACAGGACCTCACGCTCAGTAAGCAAGCTCTCAACCACTGAGCTAAATCCCCTGCCCTATTTATTTGTTCCTAAAAAATATTTTGATATGTAATTATCTTGAACATATTTGTTATTGTAAAACACTCTAAATACCGATTTTCTTCATTGTGGCCCATATCTGCCTCTACACCACTTTCCGCTCAACTTGAGAGCACCTCTCAGACTGCTATTGTGCTCATGCCCAAAGAATTTCTGCCACTTTCCTGGCTCACATTTCCCTTAATTATATATAATAATGGTTTTGCTTCAAAAGTGTCTCTCTTCTCACTATACTGATATGAAAGTGAGATAATGGATAATGAAAATGTGGGTGAACAACAGAAAGCCACACATATTCAAATACACATGAGAATTATAAAAAGTTGTACTCTAATGGGACAGCAAGATCAACAGAAAATGCAGTCCTTGAAGTGTTCTGTATAGTCTAGGTTCTAGAAAAATTATAAGTCAGGGGAAATCCTATAATCACTTCAAAAAGTCTCTAACTCTTTCCATATGCTGGAATATTTTAGTTCTGATGGCTTGAAAAACCAAGTTGCAGGATAATTAATCACCTCCTTGGTCAGAATGGCAATAAAATAAAGCAGACCTCAAATGACCTAACACTCTTTTGGCACCCTTTCTCCTATTTGGACAGGTTCCTTCATGAATATGCCAAATGTAGAATTAATCATAGCTTTTTTACTATATGAAGCAAAATGCTCATGCTAATCTATTTTGTAAGCAGTGCTACATGTACTGCTTTCCTTTTTGCTCTGAGCTTTTTGTCTTGAGCATTTTGCTCAGGCAGCTATTTACCCCTGCTCACTTAAGTGTCACAGTTAAGTGCTTCCTTTAGTCCTTACTATGCCAGGAACCCTTAAGAAGCCAGAAACTCTGTTATTGTGAGGAGAGATCACTAACAGAGATATAATTTGGAAAAAAGCATTTTTAAGTTAAGACTAATCATGCAACAAGAACTTTAAAGCACAAACATTGCTTGCAATTGGCTGGAGCTGAGAGACTTTTTTAAAACCTGTGGTAGATCTTACTGTTGTAATGGTTTTTACCATAATGAAATTTAATACATTACCGGGAAAAAGCCATGCCCTGTGGTAGGGTACTGCTTATATTTCAAAACACGTTAGCTTGAAGCTTCAGCCAGATCTAATAATAGAAATGAACTTACCTAAAGATGCATTGATTTTTGTATTAGGTCATGTTGAGAATTTACAAAGAACATCTAGTCCATGAAACAAAAATCCTCATGAGACTAGCATTGATTGCAAGAAGGGTAATATTAGAAAAATAGAAATCCTCTCCTCCCAGAACAGTGAACATTCATATAACGGATTAAGTGCACTATATAGTTTAGAAAAGGTCATCTTTCAGATAAATGATAAATTTGATGAATTTCAGCAGATTTAATCATCCCTTGAGATTTGATGAAAATAACAATAGAGTAAGGAAAGGATATAAGAAAACATCCATCTTACCCAGATAATCTGCTTATTAAAAACAGGATTAATTTATTCTAACTTCTGAAACTATAAATAATCTATCATGCATCTGTTCAATAATAAATCCTTATCATTTTAGTTCGTACTCTATCATTGGGCACTTCAACCATCATAAAATTCTTTCTTAGACAAAATACCGAGTAAGACAAGGGACAGAAAATTAAGATAGTATCCATTTGTATCCTCTAAAAAAACCTAGAGATCCTTCCTAAAGATATGAGAATAAAGAGAGAGGGTTATTTTCTTGTGCTCATATTATTAGACTATATATATATATATATATATATATATATATATATTTACTCAGATTCTATTTCACCCTCTACAAATGGAAGAGATCACTGTGCGCTAAAAAGAGATCATCTATGTAATGCATTTATCAGAGTGCTTGCTTCAGAGTACTGTGTATGCTCAAATGTCTATTAAGGAAATGGAAAATGCATGCCTGTATTTATACCTTGGAAACAATTATGTGTATGTGTGTGTGTGTGCTTGTGTGTGTGTGATGTATATGTATGTTATTGACTGCATATATCTACTCCCATTGCTCTTGTTCATGTGTAGTTTCCAAATAATTTGAGAGATATGTCTAGGTTTTTTTTCAATTTATTTTTTCAATCCATCAATCTTAAGGAATCAAAGAATTTACACATTCAAACTGACTAAATGATAAACTTTGAGATGATTATAACTGTCATGACCTGTTACATTTTGTAGACCAGCCCGTGAGCCAATGATTCACCTCAAAGTAGAGCCCCTGGTTAATGGAAGCATTACTGAACAGTGACTGCGGTCCAAAATGAAAGCCAAGTTTATCCTTGGTTAATCTGAAACTTTTTGAAGAAAGTTTGTATTTATGGTGAAATAAAACTAATCAGGCCAAATTGCTATTCCTGAATTGCTTGCTTTTCCTTTAATGCTTAGCCCCACCGCACTTGGGATAGGCAGTCTTCACCAGTGATGTGAAGCCAAGAGTCACTCAATCATTCAATCTGTAAATATGCGAACTGAGATAACAGCCACCTCCTCCCATGCATGGGGGAGAGGTATGTGCTTTTGATATTCCCAGTCAGAACTCTGAGCTCTTTCCCCCCTTGTAGATGTGTTATTATTTTTTAATATTTACTTCTGTAATACTTGTTGTATACTTACTTGTGACCCATTTAACAAAGGAGGAAAATGACAACAGGGCCTGACCAGAAATTGAATTCAACCTACAGACCAGAGCTGGGGAGAAGCCCAGACTGTGGTCAGAATGTGGTCTGCAAGGGCAGGCACCAGGCCAGACAGGACCAATCGGAGGTTGGGAGATCCAAACAGATGCAGTATAAGAGTCTTCTTAAAGAGAAAAAGCATCAGCTTCCCAACTGCCATGTGCAATTAAGTCAAAGTCAAGCTCTCTTTTCTGCCTTCACTCCCTTTATTTCAGTTAGGACTACAGTATCCCAGTAAATGTGTAATATCCTAAACTAACTTTTCATCTGGAGTGAATAAATGACATTTGTGTGAAAGGTTCATATATGCTCACAGTGCCAATACGCTTTCCTTACAAAACTGTAGGTAGTAAGTATAAATATCAAAATTTCTTTCCTGAAAATGTATTAGAAATAAATGTATCCTGAAAATGATTCTGAACCTCTGCCAGCTGTTTTGGTTCAGTTTTAAATTCAATAGCAATGTCCTAGACTATTTAGACCTCATTAACGGACCCAGGAGTGCATTAACTTTGTAAGTGGCTAATTGGTATTTATTCCTTTTCACATGATATTTTAAACAGATTGACAAGGAGCAGTATGATAAAATACTCGGCCTCATTGAGAGTGGGAAGAAACAAGGAGCCAAACTGGAATTGGGCGGAGGCCCCTGGGGGAACAAAGGCTACTTCATCCAGCCCACAGTTTTCTCCAATGTGACAGATGAGATGCGCATTGCCAAAGAGGAGGTAAAGGCT